CGGAAGGTAAATCTTGAAAAGAAAAGGCCAAGAGCGTTGAGAATTGAAGTTGTCTCGACATTTGTGAAAGCTCAAGAGGAAGCTTTAGAGAGAAATGACCGAAAGGAGGAACGTTTGGGCAAAACGTTGGTGTTTGATACAAAAGGTCAAGGACTGAAGGTATTCAAAGATAGGATTTGGGTACCTAAGGCGGGAGGAGTAAGAGATCTTCTGATGGAAGAAGCTCACAAAACCATGTACTCGATTCATCCCGGCAGTACGAAAATGTATAGGGATCTAAAACCCTATTACTGGTGGGCGACGATGAAGCTCGATGTTGCAAAGTATGTGGCTGAGTGTGTAACTTGTGCTAGGGTTAAGGCACAACATCAGAAACTGTATGGGAGTTTAGAACCTTTGCATATACCTATGGGCAAATGGGAAGACATCACTATGGATTTTGTGACTAAACTGCCCAGAACAAGGAACGGTCACGACATGATTTAGGTGGTCGTTGATCGCTTCACTAAGAATGCGCATTTCATAGCAGCCAACGAGAAATGGTCTATGGATAAACTTGCGAATTCTTACGTGAAGGAAATTGTGAGGCTTCACGGTGTTCCGTTAACAATTGTATCCGATCGTGACAGCCGTTTTACCTCAAGGTTTTGGAGGAGTCTACAAGAGGAATTGGGTACCAAGTTGTGTTTGAGTACAACTTACCATCCGCAAACTGATGGTCAAAGCGAACGAACGATTCAAACATTGGAGGATATGCTGAGAGCATGTACCCTAGAATTCCAAGGTAACTGGGATGAACACTTACCTCTAGTAGAATTTTCCTATAATAATAGTTTCCACTCAAGCATTAAGATGGCACCTTATCATGCTTTGTATAGAGAAAAGTGTCGAACGCCATCTGTTGGCTGGAAGCTGGGGAAAAGCAGTTTATGGGACCTGAGATAGTCCATCAAACTGCTGAAAAGTTGAAAGTGATAAGGGAAAGGATGTTAGCTGCTCAAAAGAGCTATGCTGACAAGAAAAGACAACGGATATCATTCGAAGTTGGAGATTCGGTTTTACTTAAAGTCTCGTCATGGAAGGGACTTATAAGGTTTGGTAGAAGGGGAAAGTTGAGTTCAAGGTTTATTGGACCATTTAAAAGTTCTTCAGAGGATCGGGAATCAAGCTTACAAGCTAGAATTAACGGAAGAACTAGAGGGTATTCATAATACCTTTTATGTGTGTTATTTGAGGAAGTTCACGGGAGGTGTGCCCGACATAATTCCCATTTCTAAATTAAGGTTGGATGAGAGCAAGAGGTTAATTGGAGAACCTGAGGCAATCGTTGACCGTAAGACTATGAAGTTGCGGCTCAAAATGGTTGATTTAGTGCTTGTGCTCTGGAAACATACGAATGGACCAAATCCCACCTGGGAAACGGAGAGTGACATGGTGAGTCGCTACCCGTGGTTGTTCGTCGATGTGTGATTCCGGGGACGGAATCATCCTAAGGGGGAGAGAATTGTAATGCCCGTGTTTCTAGGCTAGGAAGTAATATTGACCTGATAGTCTAGATTAACCTTTGTGACTCATTTTGAAGAAATGAAAAAGAATTATGTGAATATTTTGTGTTTTATGTGTTTTATGCTTAATTACTAGGAGTTAAATAATTAAGAATAAAAATGAGCGTCAAAAATAAATATTAGATAAAGCCGATATCTATTAAGAAAGTTGTAGTGGTCGTGACAAGGATTACGGATATATAAAGAAATGCCGAAATCCGAGTTATAACGAAGAAGTTATGACCTGTCGAAGTTTCACGACAAAACCGACACGGTGCTGAATGTCGTAAAAAGTGAGTTTTTGATAAACTACTTTTTAGCCTTAGTGATCTAAACAAAACTCGTAGTGTTCGTTAAACCGAGAGTAGGTATAAAAAGAACGCCCAGATCTGACTTCGTATGAGGAAGTTATGATTTTTCGAAGTTTCAGCTTAGCAGTAGACAGCTAAAAACTCGAATTTTAGATCGAGTGATTTTTAGCCGACACGACCTAAACGAGAATCGAAGGTCTCGTCATTAGTAGCACAACGGTAAAAAGACAGACGAAAATGGACGTCGAATGAAGAAGTTATCAATTTTTAACGGATTTCTTGTCCCGGTCTGTTAAAAATAATAATATAAAAATTAAATTCAAAATTAGCCGACAAAGTCTAAACGAAAGTTGTGGAGCGTAATTTTACCTACGCGTTCATATAAAGAACGTCAAAAACGGAGCTCGTATACGAAAGTTATGGATTTTAGAAGTTTTGGCGCGAAAACCGAGAAATTTCGCATAGGTGGCTTCGGCCACGTCACCTTCGCTTAGAACGTGCCACGTGTCCGAAATTGGTGACTCATGCGAGCCACGTGTCCGAGCTGCTGAGTCATCCGATCTCGTGAGCTGATCCGAAGTGGTCTACTGAGAAGGCGACACGTACCCTCTTTCATGTGACCGAGCCCTCGCATGAAGCCACGGACACCCCCTACTTCGGACCTAGACCTCGGTCCAGTAAGAAGCTGCCAGCAAGCCTTCGCATGCGCAGCCCATGTGCGAGCCCACCCCTGCGAGCCTCGGATCTTCGCCACCTGGAGGCTTCTCAACCGTCGGATCAGGAGCTTCGGTCCCTATAAATAGGAGGGTGCGAGACCTCCCATGAGTATTTTGAAAACTTATCAATTTTAGCCCCTAAACTCATATTTCTTTCATTCTAACTTCCCCCAAAGCCCTGGTATCGATTATAAGCCCCGGAATACGCCACGAAGTGCCTGAGAAGCCCAGAAAAATTTATCTTTTCGGTTTCGAAGCCCGACCTTCGCAGAGCCCGGTTTCTCAATAAAACTCCCGGATTTATTAGAAACGAACGTTTTAGGAAACGAATTGCTGCCCGATTGTCATCAAATCAAGTGAGTGTGTAGTTATTTTCACTTTACACATAGATATGAAGTATTTACCTTAAAATACATGTTATGTGTAAATATATTAATTGTTTATTTGAGGTGACTGTTGAACAGATGTTTTATACAAGTTTTAAATTGTATATGTATTTTATCTACAAATATGTTGGGTAGAACATGGGTAGACCTAATAGTCGGTGTGTATTAAAATGGTGATAGGCCTCGGTGTCGGTGTCGGTGTTGGTGTTGTTCGTGTTGTTCTTGGCGAAGTCGTCTAACGGAGTATAGATGACGACCACGGACTTTTCTAGACAGTCCAGTGGCACACTAGCAAGTTCGCAACTTGTAGGTGTTGGTGAACTAAATGTTTGCTGGCATACTCCAATCCCCCTCATGGTTTCCTTTAGGACATGTATGGCTAAGGACTCCCCTTAGCAGTAGTGTCCAACCCGATGATATTCCTTAGGCTAAGTCCCTTGTGTTAGGTTTTTAGGGACGTAAAGTGAGGACAACGGGAATGGGTAATCAGGTTTATTGTTCATTGGTGAACTTAATAAGTTATTATTATTGTGGGTTGAAAACCCTATATGCTCACCAGGCTCCCAAGCCTGACCCACTCAGCTTTTTATGATTACAGGTAGTGGACCCGAGCATAGTCGGATGATGATGATGAGTGATTTTGGATTATAGGCCAGTAGTTATAAATAACTGTTGTAAGGCTTATAATGTCTTGTTTATGCTTTTGATGTGTATCGGAACATGACATCCCGAGGTTTTGATATAAAAGGAAATTATATATTTCTTAAAGAAAGGTTTTGAGAAACTTTTATCATGTTTTGTTTTGGGGACCAATTCCGCAACATCTTTTAAAAAGATTTCTCTGATTTTATTTTAAAAAGCATAAATTAAAGCGGTCTTTTCTAGCCGAGAAATTAGGGGATGTCACAGAATAGTCCTCTCACTTTGTCCATCAGTTTGCAGATGGTAGGTTGTACTCATGTCCAGCCAAGTTCCTAGGGAACTTTGTAGCGACTGCCAGAATCTTGAAGTGAATCTACTATCTCTATCAGAGATAATGGATATGGGAACACCACGCAGTCATACGATCTCCCTAATGTAGGTTCTTGTTAGTTTCTCCACCTTGTCAGTTTCTTTGATAGACAGGAAGTGTGCGGACTTTGTTAACCTATCTACGATCACCCATATACTACTAGAAAAACAGCCTTTTACGACGCGCAATACGTGTTGTAAATCGCTGAGACGACGCGCAAATGCGTGTCAAGGAAGGCCATGTCATAACGAGAGACGACACGCTTATAGACGACGCGCAGTTACGACACGCATTTACGACGCTCATTTACGACACACAATGTGTATCAAGGAAGGCCCTGTCATAAAGGAATATGACACGCATTTGCGTGTCGTAACCTTCCGACGCGCGTTTACGACATGCATTGCGTATCATTATAGCCCCTGTCATAAATGTAGATGACACGCATTTGCGTGTCATAAACTTCAGCAACCATTTACAATATGCATATACGACGTGCCTTTACGATACTCTTTTACGCATAATATAAAAATATAGAAAAAAATATATATAACAAAACAATCAATTTCATCCAATAACATCATGTCAAAAAATTGTAATACATTGATATTAAAGGGATCTGATTGTACATTGTTATTAAGAGATTTTCCCTAACTATATAACCTAATACAACATTGCTATAAAGGGGCACCTTCTTGTTTCAGTAACTCATCATTAAGCTGTCTAAAGAAGCTCTAAAACCCTTCATGTATCCAACCAATCATCATGTCTCTTAGCTTCAATATCAATCCCAACTCTTGATAAAAAACAACACAAAAATCCTACACAATAATCATGTCAGTTGTACAATATCAATATCAACTAATTAATAATACACATGGTATGTATGAGAGTGGCCTCAAAGGGTAAAAAAGGAAAAACAGGTAAGTCTACATGGTCTTTTATGTTCTAAAAGGGTAAAAAAGAAAAAACAGAAGAGACCTGTGGATGGCTTTGTCCTATGCGAACGAGAAGAGATTTTATCAACTCTCTCACAGCATGATTATTTGAGTGGATTCTTGCAATGATCTGTCTTTGAGGTAGCTCAATATAGCTTTGGTTCCTCGATCAAGAATCGTTCTTGGAATACTACAAAAATAGTAAAAAGTCAGTATATATATACATATATACATATTATGAGTGTTTCTATCCAGTGATTTCACATCCTACATACCTTCTTAAAGGGTTTCCATCAAGCTGTAGCACTTGAAGAGTGGGCTCCAGTAAACCCTGCCAAAACCAGATTTCAATTATCATAAAATATTAAAATTATTATTATTATATATACTTATAATGAAACATATTTTATGCATCATTGTTGTTAACAACAAGAATGGGGGGAGAGTATGACAAACCAGTTCAGCAGGAAGTGCACTTAGGTTATTGTCTGAAAACCGAAGCTCCTGAAGAGATGTCGCATTTTTAAAACCCTACAAAAAACATCAAGAGGGGTAAAATGAAAATTTTATTAAAATGAGGTGGTAGAAAGTAATATTACAATAAATAAATGAAAATATTACCTCTAGAATCGTTTCAATGGAATTTTGACTCGTATCACGAATCCTTAATTTAGGTAAACTTATTATATCCACTTTCACTTCTGGAATCTGCATCCTCCTGTTCAACAGAAAGTAAAACTTAATAAAACAAAAAGTCATTCTAATTAAAATAATATTTAAAAAAAAAACTCACCTCAGATATAGCTCATGTAACTACAGCAATGAAGAAAATGCAGGGTATTCAGGTAAACAACCTACATTACCACTTAAATCCAATATCTGAAGCTTGGAAGCAGCTTCAAACCCATCTGATGGAATCTACAAATTAAGGAGAATGAGATAACAACATACGAAAAATGACCAATATACCCTTTAAAAAGTTCAACTTACCTGTTTAAGTGGATTAGTGTCAAGTTTTAAACACACCAGATGTTGAAGTGACTTCAAGATTGCACTTGGCCACATTTTAATATTGTTCCTTGATAAAACCAAAGTCTACAAGAGCAAATAACCATTTAATAATTAATTACCAAAATGCCACTGATATTTTCAAATTTAGATTTAAAAGTGGACGATTTTAACCTCGAGAGAAGCACATGAAGAAAGTTCAACAGGTAGATCTTCAATTGTGTTTCTTGAAAGATCAAATTTTGTTATATCACTTGTTTCCCATACTTGTGGTGGAACAACACTCAACCCATGCCCTCCTAAAGAAAGTTCCTGAAAATGATTTTTTTTTTAATTATATTTTCACATTTTGTACAAAATGATTCAAATTCTTTAATAATAATCTATTTGGATGAAAGAAGTAAGAAAATATATAACCTTTGAAGCAAGAGATAAACGAGAGGCCATAATAATAACTTTTTCTTTGCTCTCAGATGTTGTTCCACTTTCTGCATCATTTTTAATTATATTAAGTATTTTTTGACAAATTTAACTCACAACCATTTATTACAAAAACTTTATTAATTATATCATGAGACAATTATATCATAAATTAATATCATTTGATTTATAACACAGTATCACCAGTAACAAATATTACAGTTAAAATATCATTATACAATCAACAAACTAAATATACATATCATTGAAACTTATAAAAGGACCAAATCTATAAATTAAAAAAAATAAAGTGCAAATGAATATTGGGTACCTTCTCTTTCCTCTTCTAGAACATCATGTTTTACTGAACTACCTACAAGAGGTACTCCATTAGGGACTTGATGAGGCTTAGATGGAACAGTATCTCCATATTCTTCATTCATTTTTGCTCCAAGTGTCTGTGTGCATAACACAACAGTAAATAAAGAGATAAACAAATAAAAAAAGATATAAATATAAATATATAGTTATATACCCCGTATCCTGGTATTGTAGTCTCTGAATCAACATGTTCTGCTTTCAAAGCCATAGCAACCCTATTTATCTTTGCCTTCTCAAGCTTGGGCAACATTGCAGAAGCTCCAGATTTGCATTTTTCTATGAATTTATGTTGTTTCAAGTGAAGTGTGTATATTACAAACAGAAGGGTATATTTTTCATTTATATAATGTATAAGATAAAGCTCCAGCAGCATACCTTTAACAGCTCAGAAGCAGTGGGACGTATACGAGGGTCTTTTGTAAGGCATTTTGCAATGAAATCATGGAACACAAGAGACCTGGAACATTAAACATTATTAAAAATATATATAAAAAACCAAAAATGCAAACACAAACACAAAATTAAAATCAAAATTAAAGATATTAAAACAAGAGAAAAGGACAAACCATTTCTCTTTATCTTCAAGAATAGGAGTTGGTTCAATGAAAATCATAAATAACACCTGTTGCAGGTGTTAAGCACGTTAATTTTCTGAAACTGAATTATTTAAACATCAGAAATACAAATATGAAAATACAAAAAATATACAAGCACTATTACTAACCCTCATTGGATGCACATTTTATCTTGGAGGAAGGCCCTGAAAAAAAATATTATTAAATGAGAAAACATTTGATATTGAAAAACATGGTCTGATTTTTTTATGAAAAACATCAGTGAATATACTTCAGCCATTTCTATTGCAGACACCCCAAGGGCCCACACATCTACCTGGAAAAAGAAAGTACATTATACAAATGTCATAATGTTTAACAAGCTACTTTTGGAAACTTATATTCCCCATGTCAAATCATATAAAGGGTTTGATGTATAATTCTATATAACTATAAGTACAATTCCATTTTTAAGTGGCTATAATTCTTGAGAATCAAAGTGGAGTGCTTTATCAGTTAATCAATAGCATTATCACAAAATGGAGTGCTTGATCATGTTAGCAGATGTTAAACAATAGCTATATATGAAAGACGATCACAATGACTCACAAATAGATATAGGTAGCTAAAAAAATGTAAAATTTACCTTCCCATCATATTTTCTTTCCTGGATTACCTCTGGAGCTATCCAGTGGGGAGTACCAATAAACTGAAAAACAAAATATGGCAATAAATTAATTTACTCTTGAAATATAAATGTTAATAGTGCTATTTGGACTTTGGAGAAGTCAACTCACCTAATCATCATCAAAAGATGAAGAATACATGGGACTAATTTAACTAACAAGGAAGAGTTTATGAAAAGATGAAAACAAAAAAATTAACCAAAACATAGCAATCTAAGAGTTATTTAAAGCTATTATTACCGTATTACGTTTGGACATTGTTCTTGTTAGTTGTGCAGCAACACCAAAATCACATGTTGATGATGTGAAAAGTGAAAACAATTTACTAAATATAAGAACTTACCCAACTTCACCTCTCCTTGTTTTCATGACTTCAGGAATTTCATGAGATCGAATGTCAAAGTTCTTGAGCACCAGTAATGGAAATAAATAAGAAAAATTCATATTAATTCATATAAAAATGATGAAAGCTGAAAAATGATGAGTTCATAAACCTGAATAAAAATGATCGCCGGCGTATGGTATTTTCAGGACCCCACCCACCCGTTCATCCTCGCCGAATAAGGGCTGAACACGAAATCCACTTTCACTCAACTTGAAATCGGCTCCTTTATAGGCACCGATGTGAGGTACATGTTTGCCCTAGATCCTGAAATCCCACCGGATTTCGTCCCGGACTTCTTGCTCTTCCGTGCGTCGACTTTCTTCCCTGTGCCACTACGATAACGCAGACTTACCTACGAGAGTCGGTCCTCGAAAATTTCAGTCTTGGGTGATTCGGAGGTGGGACCATCGGTAGATGAAGAATCATCGGGCGTTGCTTTCGTTATGAATGAGAAGTTTAGGGGGAGCGACGTGTGGGATCTGAGTGGGGACAAAGGGAGTGGTGATGAGAAGAGAGAGTTGGAGAACGCCATTATTGATAGAAGTAGAACCTCTCCTTGGGGACTTGGGTGTGGCTGATTTGTACTTTTACCATTATTAAGGTTAAAATTCACCTTAATAAGATATGGCTTGTAAATTTGAGAAATAGAAGAAGTAAGCATAAGGTCGTCGGACCTGATGTTGCCGGCAAGGGGAGGCGAGGTATCGTGATTAGGGTTTGTAGAGAGGAAGGAAGAAGAGAATGAAGCGGTGTATTTAAAAATTTTAGAATTTTAGGAGGATTTCATTTCCCCCTTTTGAGATTGCGCGTTTTGAGAAAAATTATAAAGTGACATTCACAGAGGATGCACATTTAAAAAAAGTGCCTTCCGTGTTTGTAATTTTTTTGTGGGACAATAATTTTAGGCCACGCACAAATGTGTGTCCTCTATCCTTCAAATTTTGGAAGGCTGACATTAATTTTTAGGGCACACACAAATGCGCGTCCTCTATCAGTGTGTGTCATTATTTGTGCGTCGTAAAAGGCTGTTTTTCTAGTAGTATATGGTATTGAGACCACCCGTTGCCTTGGGCAACTTGGTTATGAAGTCCATTGTGATCCGATCCCACTTCCATTCTGGTATCTCCGGTTGTTGCAGTAAACCTGAGGGTTTCTGGTATTCGACCTTAACCTTGGCGCAAGTAAGACACTTACTCACGAAGGTAGTAATCTCTGCTTTCATGTTAGGCCACCAGTATAACTTTTTGAGATCCAGATACATCTTATTTGACTCGACGACCAGAGTATTCTTTCCGACTTAGGGCATCAGCTACTACGTTGGCTTTACCGGGATGATAACGAATTTCGCATTCGTAGTCATTGAGTAGCTCGACCCACCGTCGTTGTCTCATATTGAGCTCCTTATGGTCGAATATATGTTGAAGGCTTTTGTGGTCTGTAAAGATAGTGCTTTTTGTACCATACAAGTAGTGTCTCCAGATCTTCAGAGCAAATACCACTGCTCCTAACTCAAGATCATGTGTGGTGTAGTTGACTTTGTGTGTCTTTAGCTGTCTTGAGGCATATGCGATCACCTTTCTTCATTGCATAAGAACACAGCCAAGCCCTTGGTTTGATGCATCGCAATAAGCCACGAAGTCTTCTATCCTTTCTGGGTGGAATAGTATCGGTGCGCTGCATAAGGCTCGCTTTAGCGTTTGGAACGCCTTCTCCTGTTTCTCTTCCCAGTCAAAGGTCACACCTTTCTGGGTCAATGTAGTAAGCGGTTTCGCGATCCTAGAGAAGTTCTGAATAAACCTGCAATAGTAGCCAGCGAGACGTAGAAATTGACGAATTTTTGTAGGCGTATTTGGAGCTGACCAGTTCTCAATGGCCTTTATTTTGGAAGGATCCACGTGAATTCCCTTTTCGCTAACCACGTGACCCAATAATTCGACTCTTCGAATCCAAAATTCGCACTTGGAGAACTTCGCGTAGAGTTTCTCCGATCGTAGTGTTTCTAAGACCTGACGCGGGTGTTGACTATGCTCCTCCTTACTTCGAGAGTAGATAAGTATGTCATTGATGAATACAATAACGAACTGATCCAAGTAAGGACGACACACCGTATTCATTAAGTCCATGAATATTGCGGGCGCATTAATCAATCCGAATGGCATCACTACAAACTCGTAGTGTCCATAACGAGTTCGGAAGGCTGTCTTGGGAACATCTTCCTCTAAAACTCGTAACTGGTGATACCCAGTTCTCAGATCAATCTTTGAAAAGTAATTCGCCCCTTGCAGTTGGTCGAACAAGACGCCTATGCGAGGTAGAGGGTATCGGTTCTTGACGGTAAGTTTGTTTAGTTCTCTATAGTCGATGCACATACGGAACGATCCATCTTTCTTCTTCACGAACAAGACCGGTGCTCCCCAGGGTGAGAAGCTTGGTCTAATAAAGCCCTTTCTGAGCAGTTCGCTCAGTTGACCGGATAGCTCTTGCATCTCAGCTGGTGCTAGACGATAGGGAGATTTGGCTACTGGGGTAGCCCCTGGAACTAAGTCGATTCTGAACTCGACTTGACGTTGTGGTGGTAATCCTGGTAGTTCTTCTGGAAAAATGACGGGAAAGTCGCGTACTTCTGGGATGTTCTTTATGTCTTTCATCTCTTGGCCCATATCGACTACGTGAGCAAGGAATGCATGACATTCCTTTCGTAAGTACTTATGGGCTTGTATACTCGAGATGATACAAAGGTTCGTGCCTGGTTTGTCGCCATAGATAACTAGGGTTTCGTTAGACGGTAGATTAAGACGAACGGCCTTCTCATAACACATGATGTCAGCATAATGAAGACTCAACAAATCCATGCCGATAATGACGTCGAAACTTTTAATTGAGACAGGCATGAGGTCGATTGGAAATGAATGGCTATCTAGAGATAGAGTACATCCTATGTATATACAGCTAGTGCTCTTAGTTTTTCCGTTAGCCGTTTCTACAGTGAACGGTTCTTTTAGTGCACGTGATTTTTGTTTAAGTAAGTGTGCAAATTTCTGGTTAATGAAACTCCTCTCCGCTCCACTATCAAATAGTATGCATGCATAAGAGTTATCGAGGAGAAACGTAGCAGTGACCACTGTAGGGTCTGCTACTGCTTCCTCGTGGCCTATTGCCAAAACCCTTCCCACTCCGCCAGCGTTCCCTGCCTTCGGGCAGTTCCTTTTGAAGTGACCCACCTCGCCACATCCGTAGCAAGCTTGGCCCACACCAACGTCAGGGATCTGGGTGATTGGCCTAGCCGGAGATTTGCAGAAACGGGCAGTGTGCCCCTTCCTGTTGCAGTTAGCGCACTGCATTTCCCGACAGGGTCCGTTGTGGTGGAAGCTGTACTTGTTGCACTTTGGCAAGCTTCCCGCATACTGCTTCACCGGCGCAGTGGCTGTAGGTGCTATCACGACATGAACAACCACGACCTGCTGCTTCTTTGCAGAGTTCTGCGCCGTGTTGCCTTTCTTTTTGTACCAAAACTTCCGCTTGTTGTCAGCGGCTTTTGATGGTTCTGGGATGGAAAGGGTCGTTGTTGTTGTCGGTGTGCGGACTCTATCGATGAGCCGATGTGCCAATCGCTTGGAACTGTCGA